CCCCAAAACCCCAAAACCCCATGAAGCCCATTGCAAGGGAAATATGACAAAATATAAATTCGAAAGAATAACATATTTTAATAATAGAATTAGAGTTCAATTATAATGGATAATTTTAATTCAAAGACAAGCAGACCATTATTTACGCCAAATTCGAATTTCCTGGACTAATTTAAAAGTAGAGCTTCGTAGAGGTATCAAAATATCCCTGACAATTCAATTGATGTTTCGAGTACTGATGTAGATGACTTAAAGGTGGACAGATAAAACAGATACAAAGTTAATAATGAAGTTTCAGAGAGCATGGTTAAAATTAAGGATTTCTCTGGCAACTAAATTGCAAATGGTCTGAAAAATGTTGATTAACATAATGAATTTGAAAATAGAGTTTATAAGCAATCTAAAGCTACAAGTATTGAAGATCTTATGAGGCTTCCAGAAAAATTAGGACCAAAGAATATGTCTAGACTCAAAGACCTCAAGAATTAAATGGATCAACTCTAATCTGTGATAGCAGGTTTGTAACTTTCATTATCATCTTATTGAATTTAGACTTTGAATAGTAAAAAGTAAAGGAGAGAGTCAAAGAAGACTTGCTTATAGAAGAATTTTACAAAAATATGTAAGTTGAGCATTACTATAATAATTAATGAAATTAAAAATCTAATGTTCTATAAATAGGAAATTTAAGGATGATATTAAGCAAAAGTTATACGATAAAAAGAAAGAAAATATGAAGCTAGACTTATAGCTTAAAAGCTCCTAAGAAGAAATAGAAGATCTTTTGCAGATGATATAGGAAAAAAATTAGCAATCTAGCAATCCAGTCAAGTCTTCAAATTTGTTGTTGAATAAAAAGATGCTCGAAGATAAGAAGAGGAGAGAGCGATTACAGCTTAAAATAGCTTTAGCTAATGGGGTGGATTTCTTAGGAGACAATGCTATAAAAGTATCTGAGAAGAAAATACTAAGCAGATGGGAAAAACTTAAAATACAGGTTGCAGATATCATAGACAGAATATAACCTTTCAAAAGTGAGATGCAATAAATTTACATAAAGTTCGACAGATCCATAAACAATTTCTTCCAACTCTTCAGATTCCTGTTTGTATTCAGCATGATAACATTTGTACTCTATGCGTATCTTCTGCTAATACATTTCATCAACACAGATAGCAGTGAGATCTCTAAGATTTGTAACACAGTTGTGCCCTGCATCTTATACTACTCAAGATTTCTGGCTAAAGAGGGAACAGCCTACTGCAGTACAATTGGCCTGTTTGTAATTATTGGACTTATAATATGCTTGTATCAATGGATCAAGTTTGACAGATAGGCTAAGTATCAGTAAATCTTCAAAAAGGATGGAATTATATTTGCCAGAATGGTGCTCAATTCTTGGAACTGGAGTGTAAATGAAAAGACACAGTAAGAAGATCTAGCTGAGTCTTCCTTTAACGAGGTTTTGTTTGCTCTCAAAGAGTATGTCATCGCCAAAAGGATTCTCTATAGGCCTTAATCAATAAAGAATGCATTGCTTTTTAGAAGAGTGATCACAGGGCTCTTGAGTATAATAGTTATCATTTTTGGTTGGGCGGGTATCATCGCTGCTTCTTTATATGAAGAAAATATTGTTAACTACTTCGGAAAATTTCTGCCAGACATTGTGGTAAGCTTTCTTAATCTTAGTTTAACTATAAATATTTTAGGCGGGTTTCATTCCAACAGTTATTGTAACTATAGTAAACTTTATTGTTCTATTCTTGCTTGAAAAGCTTACTGAGTTCGAAGAATGGGACTTCGCCTATGACAATCTAAAGCAGCTGATTTGGAGAAGCTATGTAGCTTCGATTATGAACAATCTGATTTTCATAATTATTCAAGTGGAACTTGCTTCTGGAAACGCTTTCTTTGGGGATGATACTATTGCTAGTTTTGATTAAGCTAATAAGCAAAAAGTTCTTTATCAATGCAGAGAGGATATGGTTGCAGTTAACTTTCTTTAGCTTGTAATACACTTAGATTAATTAGAAATTTAGTTTGTCTCTGAAATAGTGACTAAATGGCTTTTGACTCTCATATGGATGGGTTACTACAAAATAAGAAACGCTATAAATAAAAATTATGAATGGATCAAAGAAGTTGGAACACCTGATGAAGTGGTGTGGATTATTTCATTTCAGTTGATAATATGGTCTACCATTATATACTTCCCCTATATGGTATTCCTGTAGCCATTCATAATGCTTATTCAATTCAAATATACCCATTTTGTGATTTATAAATGGAAAAAACAACCTACTTTTTCCTCAAATGAAGATGTAAGATAATGTCTAAACTTATCAATTAATAGGCCATTGGAAATTTCTATAACACATTCCTGACATTTACATTCATCATCGTGATAGTGATTATTTCTATGTTCTTGTTTCTACCTATGGATAGATACTCTAGAGTTTCTGACCCCAAAAAAATGTGTGGACCCTATCCAACAAATGTCTCAGTTATAAATGCTTCAAATCTCTTCTTTAAATCAAATATCAACCCTTAGGAGGATGAGGATTAAAACGAGTAAGACTAAGACTCATTTTAATGTTATTCTATTTTATAGGAGCTTAACAACTAGATACTTCTTGTCATTTCCTTTTATTACTTCAATAGCTTTGATTCTGATTTCCAGCATTTAGCTTTAAAAAGGATTGATAGAAGTGTATGAGAATTATAAAAAGTAAAAATTCAAAGACTATGACAATTAGATTGAAGATTTGCAGTTGAATTATTTCACTTTAGTCAGGAAAGATAATCTATTCAAAGATGCAAGAAGATAATCAAATTTCAATTCAAATGCTTGATAAATATAAATAGATGAGATTAGTCATAAAGCTTTTGAGAATATTATGAAATTATCAAATTAGTTTTATTTACTAGTATGTTTTATAATCGAATTAATATTGAGTTAGGGGTTTTGGGGTTTTGGGGTTTTGGGGTTTTGGGG